ACAGAGAGAGATGGCTATCGAGCATACAGGTAAGCAGTAAGAATTATATGAAATTCTGAGCAAGTTTAGTCAAATGGTTCACAAGCCATGCAAATTGATGACATAAGGCATGTGAAAAGTAAATGGACACAGTTACTAATGCGCTTTTTGGTTTTAAAAATCTATTTGACATACCATTAATATGCTTCCATTGAGGTTTAGGTAGAAACCATGATAGATTAAGGCCTTAAATGTCGCGACATAAGGATTTAGCAGATCTGCGCCCCATACAGTTTGGGTTTACTCCGGCCTTTACAGGCCGTTGAGTGAAATAATGAAAATTATATATACGGCCCCATGAGAAGCCAAGCCAGTACAGTTTTTTCCATCCCAGTTTCATAAGTTTTTTTCGTTATCAAACTTCGGTTTCAACTATAATAATCCTTATGGAGCTTATACAGGTTATATTGGATACACAATTGGCATAATCCATACAAGTATAATGAGCACAAGTAATGATAAATGAAGAGTAATATGAAATAACTGTTTGTGCCTTACCATTCATAATGTGAAGTACTGTTATTTCTCCATATGTATGTTGGGATTATAAGTGTTTTCTTTATTCGTGTGCGATATTCGACTGATTTTTACATCCAAAGTTGGCAGAATTATACAGGCATAAAGACATCAGGTAAGAATTCATGAAAGTATAATGTTATATATGCTTTACAAGTTTAATTATTTAGATCTTAAGGAGCAATACAATTTGAAGATGTTATTAAATCATACCTTATAATGATGTGACTAAAGTGATAAGTCATACAAGCATAATGAATAGCAAGTAAGACAATGAAAATATACTATAGTGTATTCTTACATGTTTTATTGATTTCATTAATACAACATAATGAACAGCAGGTAAGATCATGATAGTACATGATGAGGTGTGATTTAAAAGTTCGTGGTAAAGAGTTATGAGATTAATTTGGATACTAAATTGATTTATGTTGTGCATTAGAAAGTTTATTCTTCACTATAAAGATACAATTTATGTTTGAACATTTAAGATTCTAAATTATCACATGATTTTATGAAATGTGTATTTAAGTTAGTTGTCATCACACTTTGTTAAGTATGTGAGATTATGAGCACCATCTTGAGTGTTTATACTCAGCGCGTCGATTTTATCAACGCGTAGGTTTGAGAGATCGTGGTTGCTACTTGAAGAGTACTAATCAAGCAAGAAGTGATTAATTGGTCATAGTAGACTTGAGAGTTGTATAATTAAACTTATGGATGTATTAAGAATTAGGATGTAGTAAAGATTTGGCATGGTATAATTTATTACATTGTTGACGCTTTATGTGATTGGAATATCATTGAAGCATGTTAATTATTCTTCGGTGTAGAGTATTGGAAGGAAAATGATTGAATTATGAATTATATGTTTTACTATAGTGGTATGATTAGGTCATGAAGACTGATTATAGAGAATGAATGCAATTACTTGCCTGCTATTAAATGCTATTGAGGATTGTATACAATTATGAAAGATATGATAAAGTTGTTATTGTGTTATGATGAGTTCTTGTGGAGATGTTGGAATGTTTTAGAGTTTATTGCGGAGTGTTTTGTATTCAATTTAGCCTACAGGATGATATCAGCATAACAGGAACATAAGTACAAAGCCAGATTGTAGGGGGTCTCGGTCGGTTCATTCGGTTACGAGTGGACCGGGAAGGGATATTACACTAAAATGTCGCTTTGTTTGTTTTTTCAAATCACGCATCAAATTCACACAAGAATATTTAGAGCCCAAAACTTTGTTTTATTCTATTTCATAACACTTCTCATAAAACTGTCTATTCTTTAGTCTTCTCAAATTCATAATGTAAGCTACTTTTAGAACGTCAAGAACTTATGAAAAATTCCATATTAAACATAAGTACTTAACATGGAAAATTTCCTTAACATAAGAAATCAATACATGTAAGCTTACTACTTTAAAACTTAAGTGACTCATGAAAACTTCATATTTAAACATAATTACTTAATATATGAAATTTCTCATAAATTCCTTTTCTTTTAAAACTTTGTTAAAGTCATAATGAAATTTATCATATAAAATCATACTTTCCTTATTAACAATTCAAAGCACGTAGACCTTAAATACCCATTTCAACTCTCATCATGCATTACCGAAACCAATGCCACACTTTTTCAATTTATATCCATTTAGACATATCTACAACAACACTTTTCAAACTTATGTCTTATTTTTGTCAACTAAATCCTAAAACATACAAATAATCAAAAGAAACTTCCTCACACCTGATTCATACATACTTTTATCCAAATAAACATGTGATTCAAGACATAGAAAAATTTTCAGCATGAAGATATATTTGACCTTTGCTGTGTTATTAAGACATAACTTGAGTTATAGGGCTCCAAATTGAATGAAATTAGATTCACTAGAAAGATACGACAAAATAATACAAATATTATGAAGGGACCACAGCCTAGATCAATCTGTAAGGTAGCAAACAAAAGCTAGGAACATAGACCAACAGTCCAGACTTGATTCAGCAGAACCAAGTCTAATGTTTATTGAATTCTTCCTTAACCAAACACTCAAATTGAACCAATCCAAAACCAGAGAAGTCTCAAGACACAAGGAAACAACTTTCATGAGAACTCAGAACATAATCTTGTCATTATAGTGGTCAAAATGGGCACTCAACTCATGATGCATGTGGCCCGTCATAACAGAGTCAGTTTGGGTGTCAGAGTCAGTTTTGGGTGTTCCCAGCCATAAGTTGGGCCCCTATATTTAATCCAAATGGGACACAAGAGATGGGTTGGAAAGCTAAGAAGTAGACCTACAACTTTTCATGAAGGATTAGACAATCAAATGCAAATAAAAAGGATCATAAAAATGTCTTTAAATCAACCAATAAACGTCTTTCCCAATTTCGGCTTACTTAAATCAAATACAAGGTAGAATTTCTAACCACATACTTAAATGCTCATCAACATATTCATCTTAAGAGCAATAAACCAACAAGAATAACAATGAAAACTTTAGAGGGCCTTATTCATCAATAGTTTGGCACTCTTGAAAAATGAAGAAGAAAATGTTTCCTCATCAATTTCAATCTAATATGGCATGCTTAGAATACCAAGAACACATTGTAACCAACCAAAAGTTCAATAATAAACTCTTTCATTAAATTTTTTCAATTTTCAAACTTAGTAATAACTTAAAAAACAAAAATTTAAACAAGGTATGAGTGTTTTCTTGGGAAACACTTACCTCAAAATAAGGCTTGGGAAACACCCAAAAATCATTCAATCAAACTTATCTTGAGTTCTCTCCTCCACTTTAGATGCGGTTCACCTTGGTACTAACAAAGAAAATCCTCAAACCGCAAACCAAAGGCATAGAAAAATAAAAAAAAAAAACCCTTATGGGAAAAAGAAAAAAAAATTGAAAGGATACAAATCCCTAATTAATTCTATAAATCACTCAAAATCACAAAATCTACTTACTTGAATTTAGCTAAAACTTTCAAAATTTCTTCAAATCCTTAAGCTCCATACAATGAATAACATAATCTTCAAGAAGGAAGGTCTTGGATTGAGTTCATATGGTCTATGGTTAGAGTGATTTTCTTGTGAGCACATGAAAACAATAAGGGAAGAAATGAGAGGTAAGTTTCGGCCAGGAAGAGAAGAAAGAAAGAAATTCCTGTTGAAGAGAAGAAGAAGAAGGGAAAGTGTTGCTCAAATAATTGAGCAACAAGGTATTTTAGTCCTTTTCTCAATCTATGGATGGCTTAAGATTAAAGTATTAGTAATCCTCCATCCAATGGCTTAAAAATTATTCTCCAATTAATTTCCTTTAAATTATTATTTAATCTTCACAAATTCTCAATTTAATCCTTAAAATAATTCCTCTTATTTCTTAATTAATAATAACACAACTCAAATTTACTGCCATAAAAATAATCTTTTCTCATTTCCTTAATTATATAAAACCATAATTCCCACTATTCACTAATTATCTACATTCTCCAAAAATATTCATTACTTACTTTCTACCCAGGGATAAAATATCATGTATGCAGTACTCCCAAAATATTAAAAATAAAAATATATATACGTATTTTTGTTCGGACCCCCAAATAATACCGGACTTCCGACTGGTGATACTGTCACACGCGGTAACACTTACTATTTCAGACAATTTTTTCGGACCAAAATAATACCGACTTCCGGACTGGTGATACTATTCACACACCGGTAAACTTACTATTTCAGACACAGAAAAATGGGGTGTTACAAGATTAAAACTTAGGGATGTAATAATGTATTTTATAAAAAATAGGTCCTGATTAATTGATTTTAATCAATATATATGAACGTAATAATAATTTTCCCATAAAATTATCTTTAACCAATAAAATACTAATAATATTAAAATTTTCCTAATTAAATAAGACTAAATTATCTTTAATAATATTTTTAATTTTCGAATAAAATTAAATGTCTGTAGGGGGGTTTTAGGAAGCCAAAGTCCCTATATATTATGATAAACCCTTAAAAATATAATGTTGTACAAGTATAGGCCGGTTCAAAAGAAAAAACATTTTGCGAGTGCTTTTGCCTGTACATTACTAAAAACAATAAAAAAAAAAAAAACCAAAAACTCTCTAAACCAAACTAAACCAAAGAAAAGTCTAGAGAAAACCATGAAATTGAGTCAGATCAAGAGGGATGAATTAAATCTTGAACTTTTTGATGAATCAAACCGGTATTGTTTAATTTATGCAAACCGAACCTAAAATCGTCTAGGATCCTCTTCGTTCTTCTTCCTCCAACCGATCTCTGATCGCTCTTCATTCTCCACGAACCTCAGCCCATTCTCGGCCGGCAAAGCAACATCCAACAACCACCTCCGGTCACATTTTGCGACTTCATCCTTATATGTTCTTGAACCATTCTGCTCCTTTCGGCCCTCTGTTGCGCGAAAGGACAAGTGAGAGGAGGGCAGTTCACGACTCCGGACAACAACGCTGCCGCCGGCGAATTTTAGTGCACTAGGTGAGTCAAGCACGACTTTTCCCTTCCTCTTATACTAATCCTTGCTATCAATTTTGGGTTTTATGGCGAAAAACTATTGAACCATCAGGTTAGGGTTTCTGAAACCTGTTTATGCTAAAATATAACTAGATTACTGAATCATTATGAAAATAAATACCATAGCTTAAGTTCTTGTGAGATTTTAGTCATTTCAATGTGTACCTTGTGAACTTTGGTGGAGAACTTGAAAGTTTCTTGTAATGGCAGAAGCTATGAAGGGATTTTGCTCCGTTTGAATTGAAACAAGCTGTGGCTAGATGATTCGTTTCACCTATATGTTGATTCCTAATTGTTTGATGAATTTCTACTAAATCAATGATCCAATCTTAGAATTTTCTAAGTAGTTGTGTTTGCAATTGACCCCCTTTGAGTCAAGAATAATTAAAAACTTTTAAGATCTTAATAAATAATACTTCGTAGTTGAAATATGAGTCGTTTAGTTATAAGCATATGTTGAATGGCAATTCAAGGATGGTATGACATTTTAAGAATCAACTTAGAACCTTAAAAAAAAAAAAAATTTATGCCAACACTTATTTACTAGATGTATTGGACTTATTTATGAGATCGCTCCACCTATATCACTGTGATATGCTCTTTGGACTTATATATGACTTGAATAATACTTAGATTCCTATTGATGCATATTAGTTATACTCCTCGGCTCAACCTTTTGTTTATTTTATTTATTTATTTATTTATTTTGGTTTGAGAATTATTTTTTCACCCCTTATGTGCTTTCTGTTGGCTTTTGATGATGTCAAAAGGGGGAGAAAAAAAATGATGAATTTATCTAATCAATAGATATTTATATTTATTCTATGGATGTGAATTGCTTTCATACTTGATGAGTATAATTTGATGGAATGAATGTTATTTTTGAGAATCTCATTTTATACATTTTAGGTTGCATTTCATAATTCATGTCATTATATTGCATTGAGTCGGAACCCTCCTTAGCATTCTCACTTATTATTATTTTTAGCATCAATTACTTTTGAAAATGAAAATAAAAATATATAAATTTGTGTAAAATTTGTGTAAAATATTAATATATGTAATTAATAGCAAGGAAGATGACAGTTTATGATGTAAAAAAAGAAAAAGAGAAATGTTGGTCTGATTAAAAGGTGAATGAAAGAAATTGTCACCAAGAGGAAGCAAAGATGATGGGTCTTTTGATGCCCTTAATTTGTGTTTTGTTGTGTGCCTGTGCCTGTTTCTGCCTTCTCTCACTCATTCTGTCATCAATTTCTGAGTTTGAACCATATACAACACTTTCACTTCCTCAAATCTAACTTTCTAAGCTTAATTAGTTTTTGCACCCATTTCTGCCATGAATGTTCCTTTTTCAAACCAAGTCTTTTTTTTTCCCTGTTTTTAATGAGCTCTATAACGTTTAATTCTAATATTTACCCAACTTTTAACCTGTCGATGTATCAGCTTTTAGCATGCACCAAAAAGGTCCCAAAAGTTAGAAATAAGATCAGAAGTACAATTTTTTTAATTAAATTATGCATAAAAGAAAGCTCAAGCAAAGTGCATAGATGAAGTTCATAACCATCTATGTCAATTTAACATCATGGCAACTGTATGTTGTCTAGCTGCTTATAATAGAACTAGCTTACGGTAAAATACTGCTTAAATATATGGGAGATGATTATGAATAGATACTTGTCACTTTAGTGCTCCAATACAAACCAATACTGGCAAAAGAATAATGCTTCTATATGTTACATGGAGATAGTGGGATGAAATTAGATTTATGACCTTGGATGCCTATGCATATTTGTAATCCATTGCATTAACACTCTTAAAGAATAAAGGTAGGTTATGTTGCTTTTGGTTTTGGTAATTGCCGATAATAATATTATGTTTCCTTTATGATAGAAAAACCACATAGAATTAGTGGGAAAGCTATTCTGATGTGATTAAAACATTAGTTCTTTTATAGAAAAAGCAGATAGAATTATGCGTGATTTGGGACTTTAATTTTATGAATCTGATGAATTTTAAGTTTTCTAGTTCTATTTTCAATATTATCCGTTTCCCGTTTCTATTCCCATCCTATTTAGGTTGCATATCTAAGTTTGGATGATTCCTTTGTTGATAATTCAATATGAATGTTGATTGAATTGTGTTGGATATTTCAAAATTTTTAGCATTATTTTAATTACCTATGGTTTAAGGTAGAGGGAAAAGCAATAACTTGGGCTTATTCTGTTGCATGAAAGTGGAAGGAGTTGAAGAACATGTGATGAGATGCTTAACAGAGTTTCTAGACGTTGCTTTTGCACTTTTGCTGCACGGCCATGGCTTTTTGTGGGCTTGGGAAATCCTGGCGAGAAATATGGAGGAACTAGACACAATGTATTATACCATGTCATGCAGAATTTGAGTTTTCTAACCATTATTTAACTTTAAAATTCTCATTTTTTTTTTCTTGAAGCAGGTGGGGTTTGAGATGATTGATGCCTTTGCTGAATCACAAGGGATATCGTTGAATAGAATTCATTGCAAAGCTATCTTTGGAGAAGGCATGTGAACTTCTTTTAGCCAACCTTTGTATGTATGTGCACACACGCGCACACACGCGCACACACACACACACACACACACACACACACATATCCACATCATTTCCAGTGACTCAAATGGTTATGTGAAGTTCACAAGTGTTTGATAATCTACCTCAGGTTTTGTTGCTGATTCAGCAGTCCTTCTTGCAAAACCTCAAACTTACATGAACCTTAGTGGTGAATCTGTAAGTGACTTGGACAGTACCGCTACCCTAGTTTAAAATTGTAATTGATGTAGTTAAGATTTATAAATGATATGGCTACGAGTTATAATATATAGTCTACAATTAAGAATGTAATTACCTTAATCTTTCTTTCAAATGCAGAGTGGACCACTTGCAGCTTACTACAAGCTACCTCTTAATCGTGTGATAGTGGTAATCTACTTGCTCCAAAGTATATTTTCTTCTGAAGTTTTAATAACTGCTAATTGATTTCATTTTACATAGCTAATGTTCTTCAATTCTAGATTCATGATGATATGGACTTACCATGTGGAGTACTTCGACTTCAACACAAAGGAGGTCATGGAAGCCACAATGGGTATTCTTATGTTTTTCTCCTGATAGAGGAATATGCAAACGGTTGTTTGTAAATAATATGGTCTAGTTACCAACAGAAATATGGTTATAACAAAGAATAAAGATTTCCTAAGTGCTTTCTCAATGGGGACAACAAAAAAAAAAAAAAAAAAAAAAAAAAAAAAGATTTCCCTAAGTGCTTTCTCATGGGGAATAACAAAAAAAAAAAAAAAAAAAAAAAAAAAAAAAAAAAAGGAAAAGATGGTTGTTTATAGCGTATCATTTTCAATATACAATTTGAGAGATCCACACTTTAATTTAAAACTTTAATGCTCTTGTGGTTGTTTTCTTTCAAACGCATGAACACTGATTTAGTTCACTTGACAACTCCAAATTTTGCTGTGGATATGACTGGTAGTAATCTCCATAACCAATGAGCCCTTCATGGCACAAAGCTATTGTGATTTTTAGGCTTACAGCTATTATAATATCTTGCCTTTTCTTTTGAAGAATAAGTTGTTTCTCCTTTTGTAACATTTGGACTTGATCCATTTATTTTATTTTATTTTTCTAGTCTAAAGAGTGTCATATATCATTTTCGAGGAAACAAAGAATTTGCTCGGCTAAGAATTGGTTAGTCTGAAACCCTAATCATTTTATTCCCTTTGTTAATGCCTTAACAAAATTAAATTATTTTAATTTTCTTTTTAGGAATTGGGAGGCCTCCAGGTCAAATGGATCCCAAAGCCTTTTTGTTGCAGAAATTCAATGCAACCGCCAGAGAGCGAGTAAGTGCATGTTTGAAAATATGTTTTATGATTTTGCTAAATTTTGCTGTCAGTTTTATAATTCCTGAACTTCAACAAATTTCTTGTCATCAATTGAGGAAGATGTTTTGATGGAACTCAGGTTTATCATTTTTATTTAGTGGTTATGAGTGCGACATTATTTCACCCACTAATTCTAATGATGTATGCTTCCTTTTTGTCAAAGATTGATGCTGCTTTACCAGAGGGAGTTGCTGCATTAAAGTCCATTTTGTCTAGAGGCTTGACTGAGAGTGCGAGATGCTTTAACCAAGAACAGAAGTACAAGCATATAAGATTGCAAACAATGCTGACATAACATCTAAAGGTATTAGATTTCTTTGACATGGTAACTGACCTATTGCTAATAGGAAATACTTTCAGAACTGAACTCAAAATCTTTGTTTTTTGGTAGATTACAAATTTACTTGTATTGCCCATATAAAAAGTGAAGTTTTCCGCTCCATTCTTATGCTTTATGTGATCAATTTACTAATGGATGAACTATGGATCTAGAGACTTCTTTTTCAAGCATAACTTCTAACAGTTTGATAATTGATAGTTTATAATTGATTCTATCATTGTCTTAAATGATATAAGAAGGTATTTTCATTTGTAATTATTGAGATGCAACACACTCGATAATTACAAAACACTAGATGATTACACAAAAACAATTATGCGTATTTGTTGCTTTTAGACCGAATATATAAATTCACTTTTGAAATTTGCTACTTTTAACTTTGTGGTATGTTCAATTTTTTACTTAAAATGCTTGAATTTATAAAATTACACTTATTAAGCACCGCAACTTGCAAAATTATCTTAATAAACCCTTCAATTAGTAAAATTAAATCAATTAAATATTTATTGGATAGTTGGAAAAAGTGAAAATCATTGTTTCATATGTTTATTATACATCAAATCAATATTTTTACATATAGAAGTCAGAAACTGTAAAATTATTATTGTTGGTTAGAAAAGTGTTCACTATTACTAAAATTTAGAAATTTAAATACACGATAGGTCATTTACAAAGTTCAAGATATCACATAGTTGAAGTTGCAAAGTTTAAGGGGTTAATTTATATATTCGGCTGTTGATTTTGTAGTTAACTCTGTTTTTTTTTTTTTTTTTTTTTTTTTTTCTGTTTTTTTTTTTTTTTTTTTTTTTTTTTTTTTTTTTTTTTTTTTTTTTTTTTTTCATGAGGTCGAACAGGTTGAAATAATATTATTGGTTAAAATAATTGAGATGTTCTAATTTTTTATCAAATTGGTGAAGATTCGGTAGTTCTATTATAACAATTATCAGCAAATTGACGAGGATTCTTATGGTCGAGAAAATGAATTATACTACACATATTTGATTGTGTTATTTTAAATGCAACTTCGTTTTATTTATTCATCTATTGGTGCTAATACTATATTTGTTTTACCATTTGTTTTCTATTAATATATTTTTTTTGTTTATACTATAGGTGTCTTTAGCCTACTGGGGTAAAGCTTAATTATGCTCGCGCGGTTTCAGGCCTCATATGAAATGTGAAAATTAAAAAGAAAAAAAAAAAAAAAAAAAAAAAAACAACCAATAACAGTCTATTCGGTTAGCTTCCAAAAAGAAAATCTATTTGATTAGCTAGTATTGTTGGCCGATAGTTGTTAGTTGAATAAATGTGTATTTTATAAAACAATTTGTAGCTGATATTGTTGTTAATGATATGTTAATATTTTTATAAAATTTGTGTGTGTATTGTTCAAATTTAAAATTCAATCAAACAATTAAAATTGTGATTTTAGAAAATTGATAGTTTGATTTATTTTGAAAAAATTTAGAAACTACATTTAACGGTTGATTTATAATCTTTAGGATCAAAATAGCAGAAATTGAACCAAATTACATTTATGATCTAATTAATTTGAATACCTTTTATTATTTCTCCATTTGGCTAAATAATTTTATCCCTAAATTTTATTATTTTAGGTACTTTAACTTGTAAAATTAAACGTATTAAATACTTAAAATTACAAAATAATTTTATTAAACACTTCAACTTATAAATTGAAACCAATTATAAACCCATTAAATAATTGAAAAATGTAAAATTTTATCCGAAAAATTATGTTAATTATACATCAAATCAATATTTTACATACAAAAATTCAAGGGGCTACAAAATTAAAATACAAAATTCATGGGCAAAGTTCAAACCAAATTGGATTTATAAACTGCTATTCAAATTTTAGTTTATACAAACACCCCACCCCCCCCCCCCCCCCCCCGAAGAAGCTAGATTCAAAATTTTGCTGATTGAATTAATAGTTAATCGAGATATCTGTCAGCTATTGATTAAAACTAAACAACTATAATGTAGCTATTAGATATGAATTAGTTGAATCAAATATCGAATGTCATATGATTCATTATTAAATAAAAATATTAAATAGTATTTTTAAAAGGCTATATATGTAAATTTATTTTTAAATTTTATTATTTTAATTTTATAACACTCGATTTTTTAATTTGACACATTAAATATTTTAATTTTTAAAATTACATCTATCACACATTTCAACTTGTAAAATTATTGTATAAAAAAAAAAAAAAAAGAAAGAAAAAGGAGATTGTACGTCTGTATGGCCAATTGTCCATCGCTATAATCTTCATTTTTTCTTTATTTTCCCTCTGCTTTTCATAATTTAGGGTTTTACCAAGAGAATGAAAAAGTTAGTTGTATCTCATTAAATTACGAATAAATATAATGAGTACAAATGATGTGTATAGTCTATTTTTGCTATAAATAACATTATTCACTAATTTATTTTGATGTATATGATACAAATATATTAAGCATATCTACTTGTCATAAAATCAAACATGTAGATACGATGAGGGGATAATTTTTGTCTCTTGTGATAGCCCCTCTTCTATTTCTTTATTTTTTTGCAAATTTTTAAATTTTTTTAAATAAATTACAAATATATATTTGTTTGGAATAGATATATATTATTTATGTTTCTGTTATTTTTTTTGGTTTATTTCCATCTTGTGTAGAGGTTATGATTTCTCAATTTTATGTGAAGTTTTTATTTTATTTGGACAAGTGTGTAATTTGGAAGAATTTTTAAATAGATAATGATCTTTGTCTTTTGCAGCTTAACAGTACATCCTGTTCTTTTATTAGATTTAGTGATTCAAATTATCTATGTTCGTTATAAACAACTAATTTATGAATAATTAGATCATATACAAAAGATTCAGAGAGTTTGTCTAGTTAGCCACTTTGAAAATCTATCAATTTTTTCAAGTTCACCACCTAATTTTCATCATGATTTTTCTTATTAAATCAGCGAATAACAATTATTTTAATTCTAATAATTTTGTTGTATTTGATCTTTAAGTCTTTAAGTGAGGGGTTATGTCTTTCCTATATATATATATTAATTTGAAATTGTCAGTGAAATTCTAGTATATTATATTAAAAAAAAAAAAAAAAAAAAAACACAAAAAAAAAAGAGAGATATGGACATTAAAAAAAAAAAAAAAAAGAGAGATAGGACATACTTCCGGTCGGGATGAGTATGGATTTTGTTAAATCACTATCAATATAGCGGTGGTTGATTTATTGAACCAATGATTTTGGTTCCGTAAATCATTAATTTTGGTTCAGTGAATATGATAGTTTTGAACACTGTTTTTAAAATTAAATCAGACCGGTTAATTGACAAACCGATCATTGAGCCGGTTTAAGTTGATTTATTTTTTGCTGCAAATCGAAAAACTTAAATCTATATAGTGAAAAATTATAATTTTTTACTATATAGACTTAATGAAACAAGGGGTTAAGACATAAAAATAAAAACGCCATAGGTTCAAATTTTGGAATCCACACTTCAAACAAATTCATATCTTCGAATCCACTAGCTTCTTTTTATTAAACTTCTTAATAGATAAACATTCCAAAATTATAAATAAATAGTCGAAATTTTTCTTGAAAATTTAAAAAATAATAATCCTATAACGAATAACAATTTATTTATTTACTTATTAATAAAATAATATAGAAAATAATTTAATTCTAAAAAGATCAAAATATGTTGTTATTAACAAATATTTTGATATTTCATGTGAATGTTGAATGATTTAAAAATTATGATAACATTTAAATTGTTATAACTTTTTTTTATATGTTTATTATTATATTGAATATATAATATTTGGTTTGAATAATAGATAATTTAAAAAATAATAGTTATAAACTGATATTTGATAATGAATGGTTTGGAAATATACTTATAATTATACTATTATTTTTTTATTATAAAATTATTTATGATATATTTTGTTAATTTTTAAGTATTTTTTGACAAATAGTTTTTCAGGCAGCATTTAAAACACTTGATGGAGCTGATTATGTAATGTTATTCCTTTTAACATTTGATAAAATAGCCGACAATTATTAAAATAGCTAACAGCTATTTTTTTTCAAACGGCTCTTTAGTAACTATCCTAATAGATGTTTCAGCTGTTCTACGAGCGTTTCATCAAATATTAAAGAGAGTAACATTTTATAATCAGATTTTTAAAATACTAAATGCTAAGATAGTATTTACTAAATCCTTTGTGAAAATATATTGTCTAACCTCAGCTTAAAATGGTAGGAATGAACTTGAGACCGGATCCGTTTACCACCGGTTTGAATCCGGTAAAGCCGGGTCTAGACGAGACTGAGGCGCAAAAAGCATAAACTGAACGCGCGCATATTGTACATGTGAGTGGCTGAGCGACTCCATGGGTCCCATTCTGTATTCGTAACCATGCTGTCTTTTAGTCACCGAAGAATTACTCCCACGCGCTCCTCAGGAAGGTGCATCTAATTTTAGGCACATCCTATCCTCACAAGAAACACCACTTCTTTCTTTCCACTTGATTAGTGACATTAACGCGAGCAAACATTAACTGAGATGGTATATCCCTTCAATAAAATTATTAAAAAGAAAAAAAAAATCGAATTCTTTCTAATGAAATTATAGGTCATTTATCTTTTTTCATTTATGAAAAATAGATCATATTGTATAATAATTTGTATTTTGGTATAATATATATTATTTTCTGCATATTTGCTTCAATTAAAATTTCAAAATACACATATATAGATGAAAATTTAAAACTAACGATATTTTTTCTTTTATGTTAAATTTTAAATTTTAGTCAATTATGTATAGTTTGATTGGTCTTTTTATTAACGTGAGTGGCAAAAAGTTTAAAATTCAAATTTCTTGCCCATGAAATTTTCATCTGTTTAGTGATTAAGAAGAGGGATACTCATATTGTATAATTTATTACAGTATTTTACTCTATCGACCTCTCAATGAATTGACAAAATTATTTATTTTATAAATAATTTCTCATGAGATAAATAATTTACTAATTTTCTTATTTAAGGCACTAGTCCTAAAGCTATGGCTATGCCTTCAAATAAATTTCTATCTATAAGAAAATTTTAAAATAAAGATTTCATAAAATTATGCAATTTGTGTATTACACTTCATAGGAAGTCAATGTAGACTATAAAATAAAACACATTATGAGTCTCGGTGTATGTAATAAAATAATATATTATTTTCATTTCATAATTTTTACCTGATTTGACTTATAAACAAATTAATAAAAAATTTAATTAATATAGTTGAACTACAATATTTATTTTATTTTTTTAATAATACCCTCGTATTAATATTCATTACAGTAAATAATATATTATATTATTTATAAAATTAATCAAATTATAGTCAAACAATTGAATAAATATATGGACAAACAAATTTTGATATATTAATTTTATTTATATCAAGATTTTAGTTAATGGTAATGTAGTAGATTCATTATTATATTTATTGACCAAAAATATATTAAATAAAAATAAAATAATAAACTTCAAATATTATTCACTTCTTTAAAAAAATAAATAGGACAACAATTTAAGACAGATTAAAAGAAAAATTGAATAAAAATTATAAAACAAAGAAAGTAAAAAATTTCTTAATTAGCAATTTTATAAAAACAAAATAAAATTATAATTTCTCCAAAATTTATAATACTGTATTTTGCCATTTCCATCATCAATGTAATGTTCTCGAACAACATTAACATTGGAACGTACACAATTTTTTGGGTAATGGGGATTGGGAAACAAAGTCAAGGAAGATGACGTCGGTGCTGACGATTCATATTGTTGTCGCGAATGTGTTTAGGCTACATGTAAAATTAACACGTTGTCTTATCTCCGTCACTTATACTACCAAAACTTTCGGCACGTGTTTTTCAATTTCTCAATTCGCGCGTGGGAATTCCAAATCTCATCAACACACCCACACTCTTATTACACTAAAGAAAGCGACCACGTTTTAGAGAGAGAGAGAAAAAAATAATACTAATAATTAAAAAAAGGAATAAATGAAACCTATCCCTTTATCAATCATCACTGCTTCATCCATTAAAAAAAAGAAAAAAAAAAAGGGAAAATACCCGCAAAAAAGATCCAATCTCATTTCCAACAGTAAAACTCAATCGATACATACACTTTTCTTTTTCATATCAAAAACAAGAAGGAGAAGAAGTGGAAGAAGAAGAAGAAAACCAGAAAGAAGAAGAAATGAGACCCCCATCAACATCGGCTTCTGCAGGCGGAGGAGCTGCTGCTGCAGCGGCGACAAGTACAAAGACACCTTGTTGCAGCAAGATAGGGTTAAAGAGAGGGCCATGGACACCAGAAGAAGATGAACTTCTTGCAAATTACATCAAGAAAGAAGGAGAAGGACGATGGCGTACCTTACCCAAAAGAGCTGGACTTCTCCGATGTGGCAAAAGCTGCCGTCTTCGGTGGATGAACTACCTCCGTCCATCTGTAAAACGTGGCCAGATCGCTCCCGATGAAGAAGATCTCATTCTTCGACTCCATCGCCTTCTGGGTAACAGGTATATCAATAATATGAACATGCATATATCTACAACAGGTATATCTATAAGTATAAATATGAATATGAAAGAAATGTAAATCTTTACTATGACTATATATCTGGGTTTTGTTTAATTCTAACCTTTTGTTTGTAAATTGGGTTTTTAGGGTTTGGTTTGTGGATTATGTCATTTCTTGAGTTTCCGTTCATTTCAGTTCTATTTCTACATACTCTTGCTTCTTCTATATCTAGCTCTAGGGTTTCACTGACATGTCTCTATAGTCTTTATAATATAATCTTTATTCATCTCATTAGGAATAACTCTTTAGTGTAACCTCTCCGTCTCTCTGTGTCACGATCTGAGTTCTTTCTCCTTAAGATGAAAACCTAATTATATATTCACATATATGCTTTTCTTTTCAATGACAATTCCACTCAGGAACATAATGATAAGTAATGTAGATTCTTAATGTTATCTAGCTTTGTTTCTTTCTAATTTAGGTCACAAAACCTAAATATGTATACTAATGCATATGGGTTTAACAAATGACTATACTCTTCAAATCTTGTGATAATTTTTCTTTGGAAATATTGACATGCAGTTTCAACAACAAAATCTTGATGTGCATGATTTTTTTTATTTTTTTTGGTATTGTGTAGATGGTCATTGATAGCTGGAAGAATTCCTGGGCGAACAGATAATGAGATAAAGAATTACTGGAACACTCACCTGAGCAAGAAGCTCATAAGCCAAGGAATCGATCCAAGAACTCACAAGCCGCTAAGCCTCGAAAATCAATCTGTTGATCAAAAACAACAACAACAGCAGCAAAACAAAGCTTCTTTATCAAAAGCAAATCGCAGATCATCATCAAGCCCTATGCGCAACAATAACAATAATAATCAGGCGCCTTCTTCTTCTGGTCTTGAAGAAACAACTAGTGGTGGAAGTACTCAAATTATCAGCAACAAAGAAAATATTTACTTTGAAAACGCTTCTTTTGATCAATATCATAATAATGCCACCACCCATGGATATACAAGCTTATTGAATTGTGGTGGTGGCTGTGATGTTGATGGTAATAACTGTGGGATGGATTTGAGAAACAACATTCAAGGAGTCAGCAATGAAGAAGATGAAGATATCAATTATTGCACTGATGATGTTTTCTCTTCATTTCTCAATTCACTCATCAATGAAGAAGCTTTCACTACCCAACAACAGCAGCAGCAGCAACAACAACAACAACAGCAACAACAACAGACCATTAATGGGATTATGATTCCAAGTTCAGACCCTTTGGTTTCAATTTCTGGTTCAACATTTGGTCTTGGAACTGGCTGGGAATCTGCTCTTATGTCTTCCAATTTTAACCCAAATGGACCAAGCAAGAGGGTCAATGAGCAGCTTCAGTAGTCTATATATCTATATATAGATATGCAAAGCACCTGCATGCATGCAGCTATAAGGCATGAAATTAATTTAATTTCAGTTTGGTTAGGGCTTAATTTTTTAGTTTTGCTTCCACTTTAATATCATATCTCCTATTATTTGATTTTTATTTGGTATTGGAACTCTTGTTGTAAGCATATTATTGCTAAACAATGAATGTGTGTGAATGAATGTATGTTATTGTTTGTAATTCAACTGTGTTTTTAATCTTGTAAATTGAGGATCTGAACTTTCGTTTTAATTAACAATAATTCAGAAAAAATGAGCTTATTTGTATCACTAAAATTAATTTTATTTTTATAAGACGTAGAACAACACTACTTGCTAGATTTTAATTTAGATTTTTACATGATAACCAAGAAATAATTTATTTCTACATATATAATTTTCACAAACTTTATTATATGCAAAGAGTTGCTGTATAATAAACAACTAAGTTCAGAGTAGAAATTCATAGATAGCTTATTGTGCCTCTCTTCCTGTTATTATCCTTTATGACTTTGCTTGAAATGATTTCTTAGAGGCTGAACATCACTTCAATTGCACTTATGATAGGATTTTACTTTCATTTTCTTGCTATATTACATTTATCAGGATATAAATCAACATATTAGACTACGTTTTTTATTTGTCGGAATCTTGATTAATTAGTTCATTTCATTAGATACAAAAGTATGCTGAAATTCAATAATAATAATAATTATGCCCATTCAGCATATTCATCAATCAATCAATTTATAACGCAAGTTTTTTTTATCAACACATAAATATTTCATTAATTTTTATCATATCTAGAAAAAACTTAACATTCAAGAGCAGCTAAAACCACGCCATTAGACTTATCCAAAGATCCCCAATCTAACCTAAGAATGCTAGGTTAAAAATCCTGGAACAACTTCACACAATTTATAATGCACACTACAAAAAAAACCGCTTTTTGCGACCGACAAAAAGCAAGAAATCAGTCGCAATTTTTAACTCTGCGACGTTGCTTTACTTTGCACCAAAATTGCGATCGATTTGCGATCATCATTGTTAGTCGCATATAATCCGTCGCAAATTGTTCGCAGAATTTGTTCCTTAATTTGAAGCGCACAATTTTGTGACAGAATAAAACATGATCACAAATCAGTCGCAAATCCGTCATACACTAGTCGCAAAATGGAAAACAAACTTGAGGGAATTATTAGCGCTACAATATGCGACTGTTTATTCATAGATCGCAAATCGGCCGCAAAAATCAGTCGCAATTATCGGTTGCAAAATAACGATTTTTTTTAGTGGCAGTATATTAACCACAGTTCATTTAGTTCCAAATGGAATCTCAAAATCAAAATGAATAAGAATATATATATATTCATAGATCGCAAATCGGCCGCAATAAATCAGTCGCAATTATCGGTTGCAAAGATAACGATTTTTTTTAGTGCAGTATATATTAACCACAGTGTCCATTTAGTTCCAAATGATCTCAAAATCAAAAATGAATAAGAATATATTATAATTATATATATATAATATATATTATAATATATAATAAAACCTGAATGACAATGATATTACTCATCGGCCCACTTCACATTATGACATGCAATGATGCCCGAATGAACTTCCTAACTGATATTGATCTCTTTGCAATATATAAACCTGATGAGCAATGATATTACTTCATAGGCCCACTTCACATATATAGACATGCAATGATGCAAATGAACTTCCTAAACTATATTGATACTCTTTGCATGGGAACTTGTCGTCCCATGCATACTGTCATACTCTATTAGAATTTTATTATAGAAATGAGCTGCATCTTTTTGCTTCTGATGTGCATGAGTTTTCAATAACAATTCAAATCAAGCAGTAGTACTAATCTGAGGATTAAAAAAGTATTTATGCACATGTTAACTACATGAATATATTTGAATTATTATATTCTTTTTCAAGAATTATTAAATCTGTTATATGAATTTACCTGACATCAATATAGAATTTCTATAAATTTGTAAAGAATAAATTTTAAATGACTGTAAAAGATTAGTGTGAATGAGAATTTTTTTTTCTTTTACAAATTATCCAATTATGAGGTGTCCAAGATGGCATCTATTTCAGGGTCTATGTAAGTCAACTATACATTCACAATGCCTCCAGAGGCAAGTAAAGAGCTGGCCTGTGAAGAGTTGGCATTGAGGGGCTCGAATCGAACCCATGAAATTATGGATCCATCAACCCTCTCAGATGCGTTTAGCCGCTGTGCTACTATTGCGGATGAGAATAGCTTTTTTCTTTATTCTCAACATAACATACCCTTAATTAAAATCAATATCATTCAAAATAATAATATTAATACACAAATGCAGAATTCATATGTATTAATTTGTTGGCAAGCAAACAACTTACTTGTGACAAAGCTTTAACTTGTAGCAGATTTGCAATTGACAAAGCTAATTTGTGGAGGATTTGCAGTTGAACACAACATTTCTTGTACTTGGAAGTTCCTAAGAGTACAATATCTGATTCTAGTCCCCTCTCCAAAATATAATTGCTTGAAGCTGCATATATACATATATTCTCCTGAAATATTTGAAAATATATATGTTAATGAATTGTTTAAAGCATGCAATAAATGGAATTAAGTAAAAATATTTAAAAAAGGAAAAATTCTGAATGGGCAAAAATAGTAAAAAGAAGAAAAAAAACTATTTAATTCACTTTCAAAAAAAGAACTCCAATTATAATATTGGTAGACAATACAAGGTTTATAGTATTTTACCCTAATAAATATAATTTTTCTTGAATATGTATAATTTTATAAATTAAATAATTTAATTAATGTGTTAATGTAAAAATTAAAGTTCTATTTTTAAGTTGGAATTGTCAATTTTATAAATACATTAGACCTATTTGAATGGTTGATCCATGAGTTGGATGTAATCTGGCCATCCCAAAGTCAGACAGTGTTTTAATAAGATCTTTTTAGATTGTGTTTGTAACTCCTGTTTGAGGAAAAGTTTTTGGATTGGGCTTTTGGTGGGCCTATGCCATCACTTTTGGCAAGTTAACCAACTTGCTCTTCAACACGTTGACTCTACAATTCCATTCCTAACAATCAAACAGACTGAGGTGTATACCAACATTAATAATAATAATAATAATAATAACAATAATAATAATAATAAGAAAAAAGCTCAGGCGATGCATGTGTAATATGTATTTCTAAAATTTTCTAATTTCCATGAATTGTAAGGGAATGTCAAACAATCAACTTTTGAGATTAAAATGTTAAAAAATTTTAGTAATAAATTTACAATTGCATTTGACTTTTTGTATAAAATATTTGCATAATATTTGAAGGAAAATGTGATGACAAATCTTTATAAAAAAATAAAAAAATATATATTATAAAATTTATCAATATCATACTAAGCGTGAGCATCTAGCTGAGCGAGACATCCTATCCTTTACGTTTGGATAACAATCATTACTCATAAATATAAATATTTTCTGATAAATACAAGGGATGAAGATTGAAATCTTGATATCTGCATGTAATTTCTGAATTCCTAAATTTGACAAATAATAATCATTTTTTTTTTCAAAATTGTAATAATACATTGAAGGTTTGATGTTTGACCAGCAACTCAAGAACAAAACTACCAGTCAACTCTCTAGGATGACAAAATATGATTGGTAGATAGTTGACTTGCTGCACTATGTACAAGTAGGTTGGGCCAAAACTTTAGTTCACCATTTATTGTTTCAATATGCCGCTCAATAACTATATTTGCATGGACTGAGTCCATCTATGCATTTTCTGTATGGGTGCAGTCAGAGACACAGGATTTAAACCTAAAGAAGTAAATGTTCATATTTAAAAATTTATTACAATATTTTGAAACGACTACATGTAATAGAATGCATTTACAAGAGATGTATTACAAGTTAAAAATTTCACCACAGAGTTACTACTCTAATATATAGTAATTTTGCATAATCATTTCATTAATTAATGTAAAAATATTTACTAATTAAACAAATATGAAAAGGCAACTTCATAAATGTTTCAATGAAATATGTAATAATAACTTGCTAACCACAATAAATAATAAACAACCTCTATAGTTTAAGTTTCTATATCATCGCCATTGAGCAAGAAACCGTAAACACATTACACCCACAGAATTTGCAACAGACGAATGAATACACATATGAACAAGAAAAAACAGAGCATTTCCTATATTTGTTAATTGAAAGTAATTATTAACAACAAAGACAAAGCTAAGAAGAGGATTAAACATGAAATAGTAAGAACATAAAATCTTTTAAGATTAAGAAATGAAGACTTACTCAGCAACCTTGGTGGTCGCTCGGGAACCGAACATTCTTTGGTGACTGCAAAGTTATATACCCTGATAACCATAACGATTTCGGGTTCAATCCTCGTCGCCTTAAGACATAAATAAAAAAGGTTTTTGAACTTTTTTTTTTGTTTGTGAAATGTATGTTGGCAAATAGTGATGAAATGGGGTCAAGAAAATGTTGAATTGGCCAAAAAAACATAAAGTGGGAAGGAAAGTTATAAAACACAAAGAGAAGATTGTCTTTAATTTTCTATCTTTATATCAGAGAGATTTTAGAGAATTTCTTTTCAGATTCTCTAAGGTTTATAAGTCTCTCCACCCTCTTTGTACGACGAGTACTGAAGGACAAGTGTAAGTTTTAAGTTAGCAATGGAGGAGAAGCAGTATGGGTAAGCAAAAATAGTTCATTTTGACCGGTAGATTTGTGCGTATTTGTTACGGATTTACCGGCTGAGCAGGTAATTAATGGACCAACCAAACGTTCTAAACTAAAGGGTCAGATTTTGTTAGACAGAACAACCTTTCTCTCTTGTACATCTGCCTATCATTCCAAAACCTAAATCTGTTGTTGGACCGGTCACAGGATCAATTTGATGTCACTTTTGTATACTTTTAGAAGAAAAAGTTTTTGGCTGCAAAAGGCAATTCATCTTCTTGTTTCGTCTTCATTTGTCATTAGTTCAACAAGATTTTATCCAGATATTGAATGAACATCAAATGATATAACTTAATCCACTAATAATATGGGAAAAATACACCGTATGTTTTTTATGACAAATTTTATGGCGTTTTTAACTTTTATTATGATCTATTGAATACTTCAATTTATTAAACAGTTCAATTCATAAAATTATTTTTATTGTGTGCATTGATTTGTAAAATTAGGTCAATTATATTAGTTGAAAAATATAAAAATTATTATTTCAGAAATTAAACTAACTACATATCAGAATAATATTTTGCATATAAAAGCCTAAATATCTAAAAATTAGGATTGCTTGTACGAAAAGAAATATTATGTTTATCAAAATTAATAACTTTATGGGGAATAATACGTCCTCTTCAAAACTTAAGATGTCATAAAGTTTTTCAATAAAAATACATCAGTGAAGTTATATATTTGGTATCTCAAATATCCTAAACTTATATATTTTGGCAATTTTTGCTTTGACCCTACATTAGCTTTTAAGGAAGTTATTTAGTATTTGACGAAAATCAAAATAGTATATCTATAATTTATGTTGTTTAATTAGTGATATGACATCTGTATTGCTACTCAGTTGTAAATGTGAAAGTTTATATTAGTAGCAGCTTAGCAAATACATGATCTTTCTTTTCTACTTGAAGTCGTAAATGTGAAAGTTTATATTAGTAGCAACTTAGTAAATACATAATATTTCTTTTCTGCTTGAAGCTATACTGAAAAATAGAAAGAGTTCATAGTAACATAATTTTTGAATACTAATAATTAATAAATGCAACAAAGAACACTAAAAAAAATAAATTAAGGGGTGCATGTGATTCTAAACAAATTGATACTCAAACAATGGTACAAATCGAGATTTTAAAAAGAGAAGAATCGCAGTTCAAAGTCTAGGTGAAATAATTTTAAGCATACTGTCACAACCCAAATCATGTGCTGAACCGACACTAGAACCCAAGTAAGCTTAAGGTCCTTGAGGCCCGTAGTAAGCCTAACTTACTTTAATCCATTTTTTATAATCGATTCCAAGAACAATAAGCCCATAATATGATGTTATTAAATCATACTGTCAAACCATATCTCTGGCCCAGCTTCTATTTTTCAAATAATTTATAGCTCGGGCCTATATTTCATGTATCATTCACATTGTCCATAATATGAGCAAATTGATCCAATCATACTTTCAAAGAGTCAAAATTTTACATGATAAATTGTAATACATGAATCCATATATGTGGAGCTCAATACACAAGTGTGAGTACATTTCTATACACATTACTGTATTTCCTTAACATTACTCAAAATTAGGAATTTCTATTGTAACTCTGGGAGAAAGAAGAAAAGCTTATCTGAACCAGCACAATGTCTACCTCCTGAGTTTCACAAACTCAATGAATAATAATAAATAATGCATAACCCAAATGATCACACAAGATGCTTTCCACAATCTCTCAACAAGCCATCCTTATGCAAGGCCTGTCCTCTCACATTGTTTTTCCGTTCTCTCCTTCTTTTCCATTTCTAACAGGAGGCCACCTTGTGGTTTTGCCATATCATTCATATCATATTTTATCAGGTGCACACAAGGGGCGCCTGTAACAGCCCAGATTGACCAAGATATTGTCTGCTTTGGGTCACAAGCCTGCACGGTTTTGTTCCTGGGTGCCGACACATGGTAGGCCCGTACCATCCTTACACCCTAGCCAAACCACCCAAAAGGCCTCTTGACAGTATAAGGTATGTCTATACTTATATACATCACTTGCACCTTGCACTTAACCGAGGTGAGATTTGCCTAGGGTGTTACATTCACCCCTTTTGGGATGCAGTGTCCTCGTTGAGGTTTGCCACACCACCGGCCAGAGGAACAATGCTTGGGCTCTGATACCAAGCTAGGTGAATTATTTATATACAGATAATATCATCCAAATTAATAATCAAGATTTCCTAAGCCAATAATTATACTATAATCTCATCATTCATCTAAATTATATAGATCCTTTAAAATTCCTCTTTAATCTTCCATAGAATCACTTAATAACATCTTTCATTCTCTCTAGCATGGAATTCAAGGACCATATGCAAAAATCAAGGTTTATGCTTTAAGGTTTAATACATAAACCCATATAACCAAATCACAGATAATATGCATTATCTCACAAATGCATATACATATATATCATAATACTTAAATTCATATGGTAGCACCCACTTAAATGCAAGAGTGAAGTCTACACACATGAATGCAACAAGATGATTTTAATATAGCTCGTGCAAAAGCTCCATATATATACTATACCCACTTGCTCACTTATTAAAGAAGGCTTGACCTATAACACCAACCAAAATTCATCAAGTCATATCATATTCCCAATTATAGTGATTTCATATAACTCTATAAATCTTTCACACCTTGTAACTAACTCTTTTAAACATTTCATCAAATCCTTCCATCTTAGTATATTTACTTATATATCTCTGATCGTTTGACATAGAAATCGGTTAATCTAACCATAATAAGATCACCTCAAGCCATTATTCTTACAAATCCACACTTAACTTATATAATCCCAATATATATACAGGTCTATAGCTTGATATTCATTAAATCCATTTCCATTAATTCTTAGAGATCATGATTTGCTAATTAATAAAAGTCACCGACTAATGATAACCAAAATTTTAAATTCCATCAAGATCATGAGAACTCATACTTCTTCCAAGTTTTCGTAGTTGATTTTTTTCTTACTATCACACACTAACATAACCATATTCAATCTTACTTATTCAACATATTAGCATAAACATCACTTTATTAATTGAACTATCTCTTCATGCTCTATTTCATTTACCAATTCTTTTATGTTGGCTCAAGGGTCAAAATCTAATCTCGGAATTTTGATGATTAATACAAAACAAATAAATTTAAATTATATTATTTGTGCTAATGTTATTTTATGTAGAATTCTTATGGAAAGAATTAGCATAAACCAGTCACTTTTTAATTGAACTAGTCTCTTCATGCTCTCTTTCATTTACCAATTCTTTTATGTTGTCAAGGTCAAAAATCTAATCTCGGAATTTGATGATTAATACAAAACAAATAAATTTAAAATTAATTTATTTGTGCTAATGTTATTTTGATGTAAATTCTTATGTGAAGAAATCAATAGAGAGAAATCGTACAAGGCAAGTCCTACAAAATTCATAATGTGTGTGAAGATTTTTTGAAGACGCTAGTGGTTAGGAATTTAGGATACATTGTAGGATAGAGAGAAAATTCATCTATAAGCACATAAATTAATTTTTCTCTCATCAAAAATATTTTTCGAAAATTAGACTCTTCAAAATAAATTTTTTGTCAAAAATTTATTTTCGAAAATATGCTTGATTTAATTTCCTAAAACTAAAGAGATTAAGTCTCTAAATGTTTTTGGTAATAAATCATACACTTTACTTTTCGGAAATACCTTTTGAAGATCTAAGGAATTTCAATTTATTATCTTACCTAAAGTGAATGGAGATCTTACTCTTCTCGTTTTAGTAAGAAGAATCCTTTCGAAAAATCTTTCCAAATAAAATGTTGCCGAAAATCTTTTTAAGGAAAATAAAATCATCTTTATTTTCTTACCAAAAAGGATAAGATAAACTTTTGGTAACTAAAGATTTTCGTATTTTCTAAATAAGGAAAGCAAATCGTATTTTCTAAATAAGGAAAGCAAATATTCTGATTTCAAAATGAAATATCCACTTTCCAAAAGCAAGAGATACGAAGCTCTCTATATAAAGGAGCTTTCACGTTTTGAGCTATGAGGAAGTAAGAGTTTTTTTTTTAAGAGCATTCTCTCATTGATCACATCTTTATCTCTCAAAACTTACTCTCTACCCCCCATTTTTTTCTTTTCATCTTTACACTTCACGTTTTTATCCTTAAAGAGAAAAGAATTTTATAACTGCTTTTGAAAAACAGTTCTGTGTTCTAAACGACTTTCTAATCTGATAAATTGTTTTTCCTGTGCTTATATTTGTGTTTCTTTCTGTCTATTTAGATTCTGTAATCTATAGTAGACAGGTTTTTATTTGATAAACATTTGTGTAATAGCTTGGGTGATAAGCTATTGAAATTAGCTTGGGTGAGTAAGCTTAACTTTAGGGAAACGAGGTTACAAAAGGCAACCTTTCTGCCGTGAGAAAGAATTCTAAAATGTCTTGAATTGACGTGTGTGCTGTAGCTTTTGGCCATTACACAGACAACAGAAAAGGGTTGAGGTTAAACTAAGAACCTTTGGGAACGACAAATATTCTAAAAAATCTATACAATAGGGAAATTTAAATAATCTATTTTTCTCAACGAAATGAAAATCTAGCTGGCAATAAGGAGGGTAAGATCTAGGAATTGAGATGCCTTTATTTAGCGCTTGTACTGTTAAGGTATTGTCTCATTACCCTTGAAACTTGTACTGTTGGTTTGTCTCGTACCCTTGAAAAGAGATAACATAGTTGAGAATCTCAAGATGAGTCTTGGGGAGTGGATGTAGGCGAGTTAGTATCGAACCACTATAAATCAATGTGTTGATCTTTTTGATATCTGAAGTTTCGTTTGATATTGCTTTACTTACACTCTTGTTTATATTTTAGAAATGCTAAATTGGTTATTA